TCTTCAATTTCCAGGACTAATAATGGCTGGCAGTGGGGTCTTTCCTATCCTTTAAGATGGCACGTAATTTTTAACATTCATCTAAAGCAAACCGCGTCTTATTATTTGTAGGGCTCATATTATTTAAAGCAAACCGCGTCCTGATAGTGATGGCATCAGCGGCATTATCGTACTCTATTCTGTCCGTGCAATGACCATCTTCACCCCATTGACGAAAAATAAAAACAGTATTACTACAATATTAAAATGTTGCAATAATTGTAATTAGGAAATTTGATTTGTAAGAAATTCGAATTTTGTCATTTTCAGATAAAATGTTCGTCTAATGTTTTATGCCCATTTTATTTTAAAATAATTTTTATCTTTACTTATCTTTAAAAAATAAAAATAAAGATATCATATCAACCTATTAAGAATGTGAGAGATTTTAAATTTGATTTTTATCATGTACACAATTAATTTAACATTATATTAGTGTTTAATTTTATTTAAAAATAATTTATCTACACTATCAGTATATAATGCAGCAGTGGAGATGTGATTTAACTATCAGTATATTCTCTTTTTCCCATCCTGTTCCATTGTTGCAGTTATCTCTTCGCATATTACTTCCATGATATATTACTTCTATGAGTGTGTTATTATTATTTTTTTTTTCATTTTTACATTAAACAATCTCTAAATATACCATTATGTTGATTGAATCAGACAAATAATATTAAGTGTTTTAATTAGTCCTGTTTAAATATATCTTTATTTTAGAATTTTTTATTGATTGTGTTTTAATTCATTAGAGTATCCAATTATTCTTAATTAAGGTTTGTTTTTAATTAATATAATGATGATTAAATTTTCTTTCCTAATTATTGTTTTATTGTCTCTTTCAATCTAATATTTTATTTGCTTTGACACAATATTTTATTGCTTTGACACAGATTTCTGAATATTCTACCAAATTAAGTTTAACTGGTCTCTCTACAAAAAAACAACTACTTTTTAGCTTCGACCATCAGTGAGAAAGAAAAAGCAGCTACCACATAATTAAGGTATGTATATGTGTACTAATACTTTCTAATTAATATCTTTAGGAAGATCTAAATCAAACTCTATGATATATATTTTTATTGCTTTCTTTCTATCATCTTTGCTATTTTTAATTTCAACACGCGAAACTAATTAAATCAATCCATTAGGATAAAATACTAATTTGATAATAGTGTGAGGTATTCAATAGATTAGGCTAATTTGTATTTCAATCCATTTCTTTCTCTTCTGTAGGAAAGCTGTTCCATCCAATGGAGTTCTTATCTTATGCTGGAGGTTTTCTTTTATCTGATACATTTGACTTGCTACGTGAAAAGTTGAATGGATATATAAGTGATCAGTTGATTGGATACATAAGTGATCAGCTACAGGATTCAGAGGAGGATGTACGTGCCCAGATGGAAAGCTGGAAGACTCTTTTGTCTAAAATCACAGTTATACTTCAACATGCAGAAGAAAATCAAGGCGCCAACATGTTTGTGAAGTCATATCTTGATGATCTCAAGGACTTGGCTTATGATATGGAGGACATACTTGAAGAATTTGTGATTGATGCCAGGAGGTCCGAATTGACTGCAGAACCTGATGCTAGAGCCAACAAACGACAAAAATTCCCCTCCAATATCATGAATTTATTTACATCTAAGGCCAAACCCAATCAAAAGATTGATTCCATGGTGAATTATCTGAAAGTTAGATTGGAGCGTTTTGAAAAGGGGATGCATACTTTTGGCCTGTTCAATTTGAATATGAAAGTTGAAGATAGGTCCCACAAAGTAATTGCAAAAAGACTACCAGAGCCTTCACTTCTTGAGGATAAGGTGTTGGGTCGAGATAGTGATAAAGATGCTATTCTTCAAAGGTTGCTAGAAGATGGAGGCAATCTCGAACAAGACTTTGTTATTCCTATTGTTGGAATGGGTGGACTAGGCAAGACAACTCTTGCTCGGCTCATTTACAATGATGAAAACTTGGAAGGCAGGTTTGACTTGAAGGCATGGGTTTGTGTTTCTGATGAGTTTGATGTTGCTCGAATAACAAGAAACATTTTAGAACATGTTACTAAGAAAAAGCATGATTTTGAAAATTTTGCTTTGCTTCAAGAGAAATTGAAAGTGGAGTTATCTGGGCACAAGTTTCTTCTTGTATTAGATGATGTTTGGAATAAGGAATATGGCCAATGGGATGTCTTGAAGAGACCTTTTATGTCAAGAGCTCTTGGAAGTAGAATAATTGTCACAACTCGAAATAAGGATGTTGGGAAGATAATGAGAGGAGATGGTGGAGTTTACAATTTAGAATTACTACAAGATGATGCTTGCTTGCCATTATTTACACGACATGCACTGGGGACAGAGAATTTTGATGCCCACCCAAACCTACAAGATGTTGGTGAGAAGCTTGTTAAGAGGTGCAAAAGATTGCCACTGGCACTAAAAACACTCGGTGGCGTCTTGCGGGGAAAACTGTGTCGTGATGAGTGGGAAAATATATTAAATAGTGAGATATGGAGTTCATCAGAAGATCAAAGTGGAATTCTTCCTGCTCTGAGATTGAGCTACAATCATCTTTCTTCTCACTTGAAGCGATGCTTTGCCTATTGTGCTTTGTTCCCTAAAGACTATGAATTTGACAAAGAGAAGTTGGTTCTATTATGGATGGCTGAGGGCTTGTTACAGCAACAGTCACATGGAAAAAAGCAAATGGAAGAGGAGATTGGTCATCAATATTTCCAAGAGTTGCTATCAAGATCACTCTTTCAACAATCTAGTGGAGTTGAATCACGGTTTGTCATGCATGACCTCCTAAATGATTTAGCTATAGATGTTGCTGGAGAAATATATTACAATCTTGGGCGTAGTATGGATGATGAAAAATTAGAGAAGGCTCGTCATTTGTCATTCACTCCACACAGGTATGAAATCTCAAAAAGATTCATAGTCTTGGATAAATTGAAGCATTTGAGAACATTCTTGCCATTGAGAGGGCTCAGTTACAGTCCTTACTTCTATTTGTCCAATAAAATCTTGCATGATTTCCTGCCAAATTTGAATTGCTTAAGAGTGTTGTCTCTCTGCCACTATTGCATAAGCAAGCTACCAGATTCTTTTGAAAATTTGAAACATATTCGATATATTGATTTGTCCAATACACAAATCAAATGTCTATCTGAATCAGTGGGTTCTCTTTTTTTCCTGCAAACACTACTATTACATGGTTGTGATCAGCTTACTAAGTTGCCTACAACGATTGGGAATCTAATTGATCTCCATCATCTTGATATCACTGATACACCATCTTTAAAAGAGATGCCATCAGGAATAGGCAATCTTAAAAATCTTGTAACACTATCCAAATTTATGGTGGGGAAGGCAAGTGGAATGATGAGATTATCTGATCTGAAGAACTTGTCACAACTTCGAGGAAGATTGTCTATTCTAGATTTGCAGAATGATTTGGATGTTCAAGATGCTAGGGAGGCCAACTTAGACAAGATCCATGGTTTGCAGGAGTTACTCTTGGAGTGGACTACCTCTGCTAATGATCAAGATGAATCAGTTCTTGAAATGCAAGTCCTTAGCTGGTTAAAACCTCATTCAAATTTGAGAAATCTTAAAATTTCTTGCTATGGTGGTGAGAATTTCCCTCCTTGGGTTTGTGATCCATTATTATTTTTCAATTTATCATCGATGGAGCTCAGCAATTGTGAGAAATGCACTGTGTTACCATCACTTGGCCTACTACCTGTTCTCAAAAAATTGATTATCAAAGGCATGGGGGCAATAAAAGCTGTGGGTCTTGAGTTTTGTGGGCAACATCACTCTTTTCGATCACTGGAGGAATTGGTGTTTCAAGACATGTTAAATTGGAAGAAATGGACTTCTCCAACTGGAAGTGAAGGTGAATTCCCTTTTCTTTGTAGGCTTGTGATTGAAAATTGTCCTGAGTTGTTAGGCCAATTACCCAACAACCTTTCTTCACTTAAAGAGTTGGAAGTTAGGGACTGCAATGCGGTGCTTTTGAAGAGTACGAGTGATCTCATCTCACTTGCTAATTTGAAAATTGTGAACATTTCAGAACTGACTTGTTTGCCTGAGAGTTTTACACAGTTCTTGAGAACACTTGAGACTCTGGATATTGAAAATTGCAATGATCTTACTTGTTTGTGGGAGGAAGGGACAAAAATAGAACAAAGCCTCTTGCCTTTCAATTTTAAACATCTTAGCATTGTGGACTGTGGAGCTTTGGAGTCATTACCTGATGCGATGATGGTGAGGATGGATGGAAGCAGTAGCAGCAACACTAGTATGTTGATGTCGAGACTGGAAGAGTTGGAAATTGGCGGTTGTGATTCTCTCAAGTCTTTTCCAAGAGGCAAATTACCCATCACACTCAAATACTTGAGTATAAAAGACTGTAAAGGTCTGGGGTCTCTACCGGATATTGATGGTGACATTAATAATAGCAGTCTAAATTTGAAAATAAAGAATGTTCCATGTTTGTATTCTTCACTGCCAGCTTTTGTGAAGGAATTTGCAGTTGGTGATTGCGAGTGGTTGGAATCATTTCCAGAAAGGATGCTACAATATTGTACGGGACTCCAACACATTACAATTGAAGATTGTAAAATATTGAAAAGTTTACCCACTGTTAATTGCGTCAGCAATCTCCTTTATTTAAATATTGACGGGTGTGAAGTTTTAGAGTCCTTACCAGACGAGTTGGGGTTATGCACCCCCAATCTTAAGCTTCTGGTTGTAATTGGCTGTGAGAATTTCAAATCCCTCCCAAATACGATGTACCAGGTGGAATCTCTTCAAATGCTATGGATGACATACTGCCCCAGCATCGAGTTCATTCCAGATGGGGGTTTGCCTCCAAACTTAACATGGCTTTCCTTACAAAGATGTAAGAATCTCAGGAGGGTGCCGAATACAATGTACCAGCTCACATCACTTCAGATTCTAAAAATCCCAGGTGGGGCTTTGACGATGGGCCTTCAAAACCTTACGTCTCTTCAAAAGTTAAAAATTGAGCAGAAATTCCCTCTGGATATTGTTCTGCCTTCTTCTTTAACCTCTCTTAAGATCGGGGATGAAGAAAATCTGAAATCCATACCTGAGGGGCTCTTCCAAAACCTAAGCTCGCTTGAAGAGTTATTCATATTTAACTGCCCGAAGCTACGATCTTTGCCAAAGGAAGCCTTCCTTCCCTCGCTTGGAAAACTATGCATCATCGGGTGTCCGCATCTAAAACGACAACGCTTTGAGGCGAAAGGAGACTACTGGACTCTCACCCGTGGCATCCCCAATGTTGAAATAGATAAGGTAATAAGACCTTGGTGTGAACTGAAAATGGCATCACCATTTTATGCTTTTCATATGAGAATTTAGAAAAATCTTTAATACTCAGTATATATAGATAACACTTTTCTTTGACTTGTGCTGCCTTTTCTTATATATATTCGCTACAAATCCATTTTATGCAGGTTGATGACTACAAGAGCTAGCTAACAACTAATTGTTGAGGTAAATAAAGCCAAGCCACTCCTTAATGTCACTAGTACTTCTTTCATTTCTTGGATTCATTAGTTATATATTATTATTTACTATTTATTATCCACCTTAAATTTATTTTTCTCTGAAAACATGCATGCATTCACTTGCCT